TACTATTATAGTATAAATAACAGTTACTTACTATTTATATGTATATTCCTATTTCAAGAAGTTCTTCAAACTAATATAAATACAATTAAAAACTTACCGTATTTGTGGTCATTTTCTGCTTAACCATCAATATCTTAGTTTCCTGGTGGACGCAGTGGAAAAAAATATCTTACTGCGATAATTCAAACATCAGTCTGAATAATCTGGTCAACATCAACATCCACTCCGAGAGTAGTAATTGAAGCAAGAAGAGATATTTTTCAAAGCTCTGCTCTCTGATGAAATTCAGATCTCTAGCATCTCCTCTCACATTTGCCCTGCTCTGCCCTCCTCATCCTCACACCACCGTGATAAACTAAAGAGTGTGCATAATCGTCTGAGTTGCCACTCCTCACACTTCACTGGCATCGGTTTAAAGTTTCCCTCCTGTGCACACAACATGCACAAAAAGGACTGTTACCTCGTATAAACATCCCACAAGCGTTATCTGCTGAACTGTCAGCGCGGTGAGTACGCGATAGAAAGGCACTTCACCACATGAACTGTATACAAACACATTGAGCTTCAATACTTGAGTCAATGTTTGACAGAAAATGCAGAGAGAGCCATTATATGAGTAAATAACCTTGTAATGAATTACTAGACAACTAAAATGAGAGACAATTTGAACAAAACTTGACTTACAACAAAGTTTTATTTATTTATGCAGTAATCGTGTTTAAGAGCAGCGTTTTCTACAGAACAAGGACGTAGTAAACAGTTGCTGTTGAATAGATGAAATCTTTAAATTCATCATACATTTCTAAATGCCCTAGAGATACTCTATAGGGCATTACAGCACAACATCATATTCAGTAATTTAATACTAAAAGTACTGAAGTAACAAACAGCTGACCTGGATCAAAACCTTGCTGGATGGGGGATGGAAATGGAATTTCAAGTGCAGTTTATATAAAAGGCATGTCACACATTCATAAGGCATGTATTCACAGCTAAGAGCTTTGGCTATTCACAGCCAATAATTAATAACTTCATAAAACACTAGGCCTTTCCATTTTAGAAACACACAGTTTATTGGTCTTCAGGATTTTTTTTAATTCATGCTTTACTGCAGCAAAACATTATCATCATCTGGTCTGTTTTGCAAGAAGTATTGCATGCAGTTTGCCTAATTTCCTTAATGTTCTGTTAAAGTGCAAATTCCACTTTCCATTTGTTGCCTGAACCTGCCCAAGTCTACCTTCTCTCAGGTCTAAACCCAGGCCTGCCAGCCTGGGAAGAGTCTGCTGAGGTTTTTGGGGTCAATGGCTTGTTGGATGAGCAGGTTGACCTGGCCCCCGACGCTGAGCACCGTGCCCTCCTCCACACCCTTCAGCTTCTCCTGCAGCCTCAGCAGCACCCGCTCCGCCACCTTGTTAAAGCTCTGGCTGTCTCTGCAGGAGGAAGAGCATAAGGTCATGACACAGAGTTTTAAGAGAGACAGAAAACTTGTTCTACAACGTCTCTGAAAGAGCGCTCATCTTCATCATCTACTGCAGCACCTGGATTTACGGTGGTTGTCTATGTCGTCTCCCCCCATAGTGGAGCTGAGCGTTGCGTTGAGCTCCTGCTGTTCGTCGTGCTGCAGGTAGAAGGCCTTCAATGGGCTCATGGTCCAGTCGAACAAAGGGTCATACAGCAGCACCTGCACAGCACATAAACACACAAATGACATTTCTTTATGTGGAGATGAAACCATATTATCACTATCTGGTTGCTGCTGTTTACACTCCCCCAGACCTAAATTAAAATACTGGGTGTATGTATGTATATAAATAAATGTAATAACTATACATTTATACATTGATTTATTTTATTTTATGTTATTCTACTGCAAATTTAATTATCTCTTTGAACATGTGTAGCAGGAACGGACCGAAAACTCATTTTGTTGTACAACCTTGTGTGCTATAATGATAAATAAATTACATGAGGTGAAGGAACTGCCTGTGATATTGGAGCACAGAGCAGCTAAGGGGCATCGATGTCTGTACATTTATGTGAGTTGTTCCCATATTCTTACCTCTACGATAGTCAGCAGAGCTTCTTGAGAGTTCCTCATCACCTCTATAGTCTTCTCACAACATCTGAGCAGAGAAAATAGTTCAGACCACAAAGCAATGAGAAGGCTAAGCGAATGCTGCAGCACCCCTGCTTATTCACAAGACAGATCTTAATCTATGGCTGGAGATATGTTTTTCTTTTACTTATATATTTCTATTCATCATTGTCCTTGAAGGCACCACAAACACTGAAATGTTTTAAAAACTGGTCCTGCGAGTTCATTTTCACACTGTAGTGACTTTGAAGATAAATCAGTCTGAAAATGCGTGGGATGCATTTATTTATTATTGCAGGTATTTTGTAATTAACCTCACAAAAATGACAACAATGATGGAAAGAAACACCTTATGAAAACATTCCCAGGCTTGGTTTAGTATTTCCTGACATTTTTGGTTCTTTCTCCTCACCTTCTGAAAACTCCCTCCACTCCAGTGATGCCCATCCCGTCCACAATGTCTCTGGACAGTCTGAATGGGACGGTCTCAGGAGTGGGAAGGATCTTCCCCTGCTCAAAGGCAACACCTGAATGCCAAACGCATGAAAAACAGAGAGAGGGATGTGTTAGGATGCGTTATACACCACGTATTCTCAAAGTCTTCATCTTTGTTAATTTAGAGCTACAGCCAGAGCCCATATATAATGTAATTTAAATTGATCAAACTTTTCCAGTGTTACCAGGGCTCCTGCAAGGTTACATATGTACAGCAAGCTCAGTACACTCGGTTTACACAGCCTCACCTTTTCTGAAGAGCCTTTGATGTTTACATACAGTAAATGAAACTAACGAGTTAATGATTTTACCTAAATCGATGTGCACCAGTTCAGCAGTCTGCTCGTCAATCAGAATATTCTGGATGTGTCGGTCACCCAGGCCTACGATGTAGCCAACTGCGGGCACAAAACACAGAAGTGATTTACCGACTGAATCAAAAACAGAAAGTCAACAGGTCATCTACAATTTCAAACCTTGAAATGTGCTATTATATCGCCATTATTTGTTAGAATGAAAGGAAAAAATAGTTAAATAACTGTAATCATTTGTCTCCATGTCATAATTTATACTTGGACTCAATAACAAATTGCTCATCGTTTGAGGGGACGCAGCCTTTCTAATTCAATGCCTCCATGCTCGTCTTGCTTTGATCAATTTATGACTTTTTATTACGATTTATCCAGGACTGGTTGTACCTATAGAGGAAGTGGCTACGCTGCGAGTGTAAGCCAGCCGTTTCTCCATCCACACCGCGGGGTCCAGGAAGCGTTCCATGCAGAAATACCTGAAGACGGGCCTGAAGTTTCTGCACACCTCGCTGTAGGCCTGGAGCTTCTCATCAAATGCAAGCCTCTGAGCCTCCTGCAGTGACAGCACAACAGAAGATTAACAGGACAGGTTTTTAGTTACTTTCTGAGGGATGAATAGTGCAACACACAGTTCTGATTGGATCTGCACTTTGTACAGAAAACTCAGTAATTGTGTTTCTTTTCCATTCAACATCACTCTGTACTGAATACATGCTTAAGCAGTACCATCATCTTCTTGCGGCAACTCAGGTTGGTCCAGTCCCGGGGTCTGAAGCGTTTGTGGGCTCCTTTATTGGAATCCACCAGAAACTCCCCAATAGGCACTGTGCCAGAACACCACTCTAAGACGCCGCTGCGCTGCGAGAACGGCACTACCTGGGATGATGTACAAGAGAGACAGAACGCAGGTGATGCAAGTGTAAGTGTTCTGTTTTTTAACCGCTTTCATGATGATGAAAATATTGGAATTACAAGTCGACGACAAAAAGATCAAAGGAAGTATGCAACAGAACAACCCAGTCCCGATTTATTATTCTCTTTGAATTAAAGAGCAATGGTTTAAATATGAGTGTTATAACCTTGTATCGTCTGATGTTGAGCTTCCTCTTGCGAGTGTCCGTGTTGCGCTGCAGCAGCATGGAACACATGCTGAAGACCTGCTGCATGACTGCATCCTGTCGCAGATCATCCTGACCCTGTTCACACCGTGAGGGCAAAGGTTACCGGAGCACATGTAGTATAGTAAAGCACAGAGAGGGGGAAGTTTTAATTCTGTAGTCTAAATATTATTATTATAATTGTGTGTGTTTTTTAGTCATTTAAATTGTCTCCCAACAGTAAAAAGTCATTAAAATACAATAAATTTGTCTTTGAAATATGAATAGGTTTTGATAGCAATCCCATCAATTTTCCACAATTGAGCAACTGTAAGACAGAGCGAGGGTCAGATTAATAAAATGCCCATATATCACAAATATTCCTCCATGAAACTGCATAATGGCAAACTGATCTCAAAACAGACATTCAAAGAGGTTAAAGATTGGAGAAAACTGTTATTTCACCATGACTCTCCCGAGTGTCTAAGTGGTGAATTATTAGCCTTTAAGTGGCAGACAAGGGTTTCTACAAACACAAACATGAGCTCACACACACATTCACACATGCACAAGCTGTCTCCCGAAGAATGTCCTCATTATCAAAGGCGTGAAAGCATGTTTGTGATCTAACAAACTTTGTATTTTTCCTGGCACAAAAACAAGATTAATTATTAGCAAGAGCCAAACTGAAATGGAAAAGAACTGAAGTTAAAAGTGAGCCGGCTCCCCATCGCTGCCGGTCAGACTTTAATCAAACATGACAGCAGCTTGAGCTTCAAAGAGAGGGGGGATTTGTTTAGTCACATGTTTCAGACAGAGAAAAAAAATGTCTTTGTGCATGTTTGCAACATGAACTCAACCTATTTAACCCAGACAATCAAAGGCATACTTCACATAAGAGGCGCACTTACTTTTACCAGTTGTCTCCTGCTCTTGCCGTCGGAGCCGACACAGTCGATGATCTTGGGCAGGTTGACTCCTCCCGCCAGGTGATACTGGGGCACGAAGGATCTGACAGTCACCAAGTTGTCATAACAACCGGATGGATCGACCTATGTAGGCAATCATACAACACGCTGTTTAAAGAGCGTTAAATATTGTACATGTATAT